GGATCCAGCACTCTGGATCCTGTGAATGAAGCGCGGGGGAGGCTGCAGTCCGGCGCTGGAGAGCAGCAGCAGTCGGCTGGTTACAGCAGGGCCACAATCAAGAAGGTCCCTCTAACAATGGCCCCTTCTTGGTCAGTGTATCTGTTGCCTGTGTGTCTTGGAGTCACGTCAGCGAAGCAAACAGATTGGGAACATATTTGTACTCCCCACAGCAGTACAGAAGCCAACCCAGACACAGAAGAGCAAGCTGGGCTCTTTTCTGCTCCTTGCCTCAGTGCCAAGTTTCCAGCTCTGCTTGAAACCTGTGGCCGAGCCCTACTTTGGCAGGGGTGAAGGGAGAGGACAGGCAGGATCAGGAAATACTCCGCTCTCAGCTCAGGCTTGCAGAAGTTGGCAGCTGGCTACAGGAGAGGGAAGCCAGACTGAACCCAGCTGCGCACCTCCGAAGGCCCCCCACGAGAGATTAAATTTGGCACTGCGTGGCTTTGCCCTTCTCCCCAGCTATGCTTAAACACACGGGCGCCGAGAACAGCAGTCACCTGGACAGCCCACAGATGCTGCACCAGGGCTTGTTCCAGTGGCAACAGCTACCTTCAAAAAGCTTCCCCAAGCCCAGCAGGAATCCCAGGAGCCCAGGATTTCTCTCTTGACCTTCATGTACACATTCCAACACATGGGCACTTAACCTTTGAGGCTCCTTTGAAAATCCCAGCGACAGAGGTTTACGGATGAGTACGTTTCCCCTAACATCTGCCCCCTGTGTCAGATGCTGCCAGAGCCTCTCTCTTCTGGCTCTGCTCCCAGCTGAAGGACAGACAATAGGCATTTGAATGTGGTCTCTCCTTCCCCTCCCAAACAGCCTGGGGGACACAGCATATCAGAGCCAAGACAGCGCTGACAGCACGGCTTGCCAGCCAGAGACAACTCTCTCTAGACCATGGCCTGCCTTTTTTATCCCTCCCAGTGTAGCTGAACCACTGGCTACTCTTGTTGCGGGGCATGCAGGCCAGCTCTTGCCGAGCAAGTCCTGACAGCATCCAGCTAGCCAAACCGAGGAGGTCTTTTCTCAGCACACTACTGCTGGAGCCAGCCTAAGCCCTCTCTGAACGCTGCCAAAATTGACTGACGTCTTGGATTCCCAACCCTGCCGGCCAGAGCACTGGTTAACGGAGCCCTCCTGTGCCTCTCTGCCACGCCAGCTCACCTGGAAACACACCGGCCATCTCTTGGACTTCCCCTTGCCCACTCTTAACAGCATCTAGCTGCAATTAACTGATCCAGGCAGTGCAAGGGGCGCAGAGAGGAGCAGTTCCACCTGCAGGAGGTTCGACAAGGGTTCAGCGAGAGCTGGCTTGGATTCTTCTGAAGAACCATTGCTCCACCTTTCTAGAAATAGCTCTGCTTCTCGCATCCTGGAGCCATTCAGCCTGTTTGGCACCGTTTCTGCTGCTTCGGAGACAACAACAGAGAGTGAGAAAAACCTGTCTAGACAGCATTTACCTTCCTTGGACTCCCATTGCCACATCAAAGCACCACTTCAAACAAACCTGCAAACTGGCTAAGTAATAATCCCCGGCTCTCCTGTGCCTGCTCCAGCTGGAGGCAGTCAGACCCATCCCACTGTGCTTCAGAGTTCATCTTCTGACAAGAGGAAGAGAGGCAGGATGAAAAATCTCATTACAGGATTATCAACAGAAGTTACCTGGCCTCAGACGACTCAGGAGGGGGATGTGCCCTGTCTGCTCAGCATCCAGGTAGAAGCAGAAATCCGATCGGCAATCTGCAAACCTCCAGCTCCTTTCAAAAGCAGACATACAAGGCAGCCCCCTCGGCGGTCCCACCTCCTCAGGCTGGATCCTTTTCCTTCCCAAAGCCATGTGCATGAATGCTGAGCAAGCTTTGCTACAACCCAGAGGTGAGAGAACGTCTTCCCGTGGCACCGAAGGAAATGGAGGTCACTGAGAACTACGAGCGGCTTGTCCACCAGGACGCAGCAAGTCACTGTCAGAGCAGGACAAAGTCATAGAAACTCAGGGAAATGTTCAAGATGCCTTGAAACCAAGGGAGCTGGAGAGGTTTTCAAGTCACTTGAGCACAAGTTACTTGAAGTCACTGCTTTGGGGAAGCATCTTGCACTAGCATCGAGCACTGACCACCACAAAAGCAACATCTAGCTCATTATTTTAATAAGGGTCCTTTGAAATACCTTCCGTGTGAGAGACAGCTAAGAAAATCCAGTCTGGCTTTATTCTGTCTCAGGCAGAAACAGCCTTTATTTAGCAAACTGCTGCTAACAGCTCTGTCTCATTAGTCAGTGTTTAGGGAACCAGGCTGCAATTGTTCTGAAGTCTGGCATTGCAGAAAGAGCCTTGATAATGAGGTCTACAGGAGACGATTCCTCCTGACAGGCCCACAATGACCTAGAAATCCTACTTAATTCCCTGTCAGTGAAAAGTGCTGAGTAACTGCGAGGTGCAGAGGCACTGGGGGCTGATCTGAGAGGGAGGCTGCAGCCTCCGTTCACACTTGGGGCTGTGATGCAAGAGCTCCACGGTGGAAAAGCCAGCACCACTCAGCTATGCAGCAGCTCCCCAGATAAAGCCGAGGGGAGCCTTGGCGGGCAGATAAACAAGAGGTTTGCTATGGGAAGGTCTGCAGCCTCATCTGTACAAGCCCTGCCACCCCGCAGGGCGTGCAGAGTGCCGGGAGCAGAAGCCTCTGTTTAACCCAACAGTAGAGGCAGGAGGAGGCACTTGGAAGCAGCCTGGCACCAGCCAGGGCTCCTCTGAAGCCCCCTCAACAGCAGCACCTGGATGTGGTCTTCTCGGCTGCAGCGGGCATTGCCTCCTCGGGATCACGCCTGCTTGCAAACGGTGCCAAAACCCTGCCAAAAAGGCTTTAACCCCCCGGCTGAAAGAGCTCAACTTTTGTCTGTGTTCCTAGGCCCAGCGTGGCCAGCAGCTCACCTGCCCAGCCACCACTGCTACCGACAGAGGTACGTGCTGCTGCGGGGTTCTGCCTCCTCTCCCGTGGACGCGGGACACGCACCGGGCAGCGTGCGAGCCCCGGGGGCCTTGCTGAGCTTTCGACACGTTCTGCCCCAACCACTTTTCCCTCTCCCGCCCCGATCCCGTTTCCTCGGAGGAAAACGCAGCAGGCTGGCACAGGCTTGGGCCACAGACACACCACTTTCAAGTGGTTCGTTTTCAACAAGCGGCGCCTGCACCATGGTTAGGAACCTCTGGGCTGGATGGCCCAGAGCCAGCCAGGCCAGAAGCTGAGGTGGAGGGATTCGGCTGGCATGCGGGTTGGATACAGCTGACCCTGAAGACCACCCCCAATCAAGACCCTTACAGGCATGTGCTTGCCACCTGTTTCAGCCAGCAGACGAGGGACTAAACCAGGAATTCTGGAACTGAATGCGGAGCCTGTTACAGAGTGGTCTAAAGACTCCCACCCACGTGAAGCTGTCGCTGATGTGTGCTCTCTTACAGACCCTTGCAGAGGAATGCATCCTTGCCCACCATGTGCAAGACTGCTCCTCCCGTACTGCAAAGGCAGCCCTGTTTAAGGTACAGCTCAGAGCCCCGAAGGAAGGACTGCTGTAAAAAAAGAAATGTGGAAATGAAATCACCAGCCGAAACAGTGTCTAGAGACAACTCAAGCCAAGTCCCTCGAATGTCAGCACCAGAAGGAGGGCTCTGAAATGGAGAACCTAGCTCACTCCGCACCGGCTCTGCTGGCACAGACAGAAGATCTGCCTCAGACATGAGGAAAAGACATATGCTGAGAAAGGAAGGACCAGCTTTATTTTACCAGCCTGTGTTCCCACCAGAGATGTGCTTTAAAGACTGCCTTGCAAAGTAGAAATTAAATCCAAAGGTGCCTATGCATCTTCCTTGCTGTCATCCCCTTATCAGTTATCTCCAGCCTGCTCTGAGCCAGAAGATGAAAGGATCGTAACACCACTTACCTTCCCACTTAAGAACATGCTTAACAGCTTGCTGTTAAAGAGAAGGACACTCAAGACTCGGGGAGGCAGCTGTAAATTCTGTAAATGGGTTCCCTCACATTTCTTTGAAGGAGCTACAGCTTCTCAGTGAGGCACAGGGATCCCAAAAGGAAACTTAGGGAGGGAGGAAAAGAGGGAAGCCTTTGTAGCAGAGCAAGACTTTGTTTGCCTCACGCCCAGAACGTGAAGCTGAGTGACAGATGTGAGACGTATGGCATGTGTGCCTCAGAAGTGACCGAGGATGAGCCAGGAATTGAAAAGCTCTTGGGAAACATTTAAGCAGCCAGAATTATGACATGTTTGTCGCTAGACCACAAGAAGCTCCAAAACCACGCTCTCCTCGAGACGGTGCAGTGTTACAGCCAAGAAGGTTGGGGATCCCCTTACACGCTGCAGGCAGAACTGCTGCACAGTCTAACAGTGGAGGCCAGGCCACTGCACAGCCCCTGCGCCTCGCCCCCAGCACCCGCTGCCTCATCTCCGAATCTGACCCTCCCCTCTCTGTAGAGCTACTTGTCAGCACAGTGAACCTGGGCCCGGCTCGCCTTTAGCATTTAAGAGCTGAGTCAAACTGTCAAAACGGCCAAACAGGATCTGTTCCAAATTTTTGCAGAAAGAGGAGGACTGAGGAGCCTGCAGCAGAACACCAGGAGCCTCCCCGGGCGAGGAGAACAATCGCTATTGTTGACCAACAGCGGGCTGCTGGCGGGCGACGAGCACGCCTCGGCGCAACGCCGCGAAAAAGAAAAGCCCCCGCGTCCTCCCGGGCTCACAGAGCACCCCAAATGAACCGGAATCCGGAGTGCCCCCCCCCGCCAGCCCCAGCAAAGCCCCGGCCATCCAGCACCCCAGCCTCACCAAGCCCTGGTCGCAGCTCAGCTGTTGGCCTGGAGAACTCAAGACCCAGTTGGCAACTGGGAGAGGGGGGCACCGGAGAGCCTTAGGAGCTGCTGCTAGCCCCAACGCAGACTTCAAAGGGTTTATCCTGCCCTGTTGTGTGGGAGAGCATGCAGTGCCTGTGGGTGAGGACAGCTGTGTGTTGGCCAGGCCCACCAGAGGATTTTTGATGGAAGAAGAGAGAAGTTAGTACCTGGTTTAACCTCCCCTCCAGCACGTACAAGGCAGCTTCGGCAGGCAGAGCTCCGCACTGCCCTGTTATTTATGGGATGCTGAAAACTGGCCAAAATGAAGGGAAAACACCAGATACATAAGGATGCTTACCAACTGAAACTGCCAGTTCTGCTTGAGGGAGAACCCGTGAGACTCAGGAGGCGATTACAAGGCCTTTCATCTCCAGATCACCAGTTCAAAGGCAATTCCCACCAGCACTGACCAAGCTGTAGTCAACTAATAGCTATTTAAATCAGATAAGCCATTGCCTCCTCGCTCTCCGAGAAGCCAGACCAGCCCCATCGATGTACACTACATGCAATCTCAGCAGAGTAGCTAAGACCAAAGAGGGAAACAATCCAGCAGCTCTCCTGCTGTAGGAGCTGCTAGATCAACAAGGAGATCCATGGTGGCTGAAGCCAACTCATTTCATGGCACGTTGTATCCAGTCCCGTCAGCAAAGCACAGATCAGTCATGCTAACAGGGGGTTGCGTGTTACTCCTCCCACCTTTGTTGCTGGTATCCGAACACCTCAAAATAAAAACAACCCACTCTTCCAAGGACGGGGGACTTGCACTGGCTGGGGAAGTCAGGGCTGATCCAGAGGTGCAAGCTGCTGTCGTGCACAGAGCTGGGACTTCCCTTTCTAAGGTCTGGTACTGATGCGCAGGACCTTGCTACTCTAGAGCGGATGTTTTCCAAGCTCTAAAAATAACTAACTCCAAACAACATGGTGGGCATAGAGAAATATTTATTTTTGGGCTTTTGCAGAGATCAATGCAGAAGAAAAAAGATTAAAGCAAAGATTTAAGTGTGTATTAAAAATAGCTTTTGATAAGATCCTGTGAGGGGATAAAAGCTCTTTTACAGAGGCAGCAAGAGCTGCAGGACTTTGCAACACCTCCCCTGCAGTTAACTGTGTAAGGTCCCGGAAATCATTCAAGAGAGTGTTAGCAGCCAGAGGCCTCGGGAGGAAGTCCATTAGCAGGCAGCAATCTCCTTAATGGACCCTCGGGGTATGTGGTAGACACTGCCTTGGCCATGGACACTCGGTTCTTTCCACTGCTGGGATTCAAGGGCTGCTCGTGCAGCCATTATCATCCAGCACTCTAAGGAATGCTCCTCATCTTTATGGCAGCCCAGGAGCGCGATGAATTACGCTTCTGAGTAGCTTTCGTTGAGCGAGGACGCAAATTGGCATAGTGAGTTTTTTCCCTTTTTTTTTACAGCACCTAGCAAAGACAGACACCGATCCATACGTGCTAATGTAATGCAGGTAAAAGCACTAACAGCTGTGAAGGCCTTTGCTTTCCAAGGACAGCATCCTGGCAAAACAAAAATATTGTCTCCATGGCTGATCTTGGCCTGAAAGATCAAGCAGAGCCTTGTACATTTATGTGTAGACAAAATCATTAAGTCCTCAGCTGTGCAACTGGCTCCACTCGAGCAGGTCTGAGAGCGGGCAGCCACCCCGGAGAGATCCGAAGAGGCAGGAACCTTCCTACTGGGAATGAAAAGCAGGGCTGCTGTGCAGAGCACTACTGGCTCTGTTAAAAGGTAAGCTTGGTTTCTCAAAACAGCTCTCTGCCATGACGTGGTTTGCCAGTCTTACTCCTTACTGCTAATGAAACAGAAATTCTGACTTGCTTTGGATATGTAGAATACTATAGGCTCTCTCAGCAACCACTGAAGGACTTCATGGTTATACACCTTGAGACATACCGAACAAGACTGTCAAAAATGGCAAGTGAATTAGGTGTATCAGGTGGGGGAATGAGCAGGGAAGTCGGATGCTGTCAATGGACCTGAATTTTTAGAAGTATTATACTTCCACCCTCCAAAACAGAGTCTAAACCAAAGTGCCCCAATTTACATTCTACCTGTGAAATGCTGGCCACTTATATAAGAAGCTGCCCCAAAGGTTACTAAAGTGGGGATTTTCAGAAGAGGTCATGGGCGCTAGAAACACAGCCTAGTAATGGGAACAAATCCCCTTAGATTTCAGTGGATTTCTCCAGCACAGCAGAAAATCCTACCTAGGCCACCAAAATATATTTTTAACAGCGTGATTAAAAATCTTGGAATACTGCTTAACATTGTTGACTGCTACCTTTTAGCCGCATGCCAAAGATACAGTAAGTCCCTGGCACATGGCAGTTTTAAAGCTAAATGCCTTCAAGTGAGCCAGCTGTACCCAGATGAATTAAGAGGACTCTTAAAAACCTGCTGATCTTACATTTGTGTTGAAATAATCAGGTACATTGATGGGAGCGGGTTAGAGGGTGTTCTGGCTTTGACTCTGAAATCCCTGAGATTTATGACTTTTAAAACAACCAACAAAACCTTGAGCATTATCTGAACACAATTTAATTTCATCTACTTCATCTATTGCTCCGCTGAAACCTTCATTTCCCCTTGTACCTGACTCTGTGTTAAGCCCTGCGCTCCATCCCGCGAAGGGCACTACATAACTCAATACATTATATTATTTATACTGACAAATGATTATTGCACGACAGAACAATTCCCATTAATTTTGCGAGCTGTCAGGTTACAGCATGTATGTGGCTGGTTTTCTTTCTGAATTAGTCAAAGCCAGCCCAGTGTTGACTGGATGCCCGTTTGACAGCTCTCAGCAGTCTGCAGGTGAGTTCATGGGAATCCTACCCAACTGTGCTCTCAGGAGCAGGGGAAATTGCAGAAATTTTTTTTTTTTTTTTTGCCAACTCCCATTTATAAATTTTGCTTCTGCATCTGCTGCTCTCTTCTCTGCCAGCTGTCTGGTTTGGAACATGCACCAAAAGCAATTTCCTTCAATACCCAATGTAGCAGAGAAGGAGCTTTGACAGGACACTTAAGAACTGCAGAGGAACACCCTCTCTAGACATCGCTTCTTGCATATTAGTGTTTTTTCTAAGAAATTTGAAGGCCTGGCTTAGGGTGCTGCTCAAGTAAGAACTGAGCACCAGCGCAATGATGCAGCTGTCTTGGTTTTGCGCTTCCAAGCGGTGTGTTAGACAGCTGAACTTCTGCACGGGAGTCACACAACAGGATGAAATCCAGCAAGGCAATCAAAGTGAGCGACTGCTGAGGAGGAAGTGGTAATGGAACCTCAGCTGGCCCTTCTTGTGCAGGAAACCTCTTTAATATACAACTCCCCCAACATTTATCCCCAGAGGAAGCCTGCTTGACCTCCGCTTATCTAAAATGAGAAGCAGAAGTTTGTTGAGGAGTTGGTTATCCTTGAGACCAATGTTCTGGTGAAGTCCATGGAGTGCCTTGCTGTCCTGTTCCCCACAGATGTACTCTTTTGTTGGTAAGTCTTTGTAAAAAGAACTAAACTCTCCAAACAATACCACTAATCTCAAGTTAATACTGAGGGTGTTAGCACCCTGAAGGGTCATAAGCAAACAGTGACCTGAGCCTTCCAGCCAAAAAAAAAGTCCAGTTTTCATGTCGCTGTTTATTTTTCTGAAACTGCAAACTCCCGCTTCCAGCATGGGAGTTTGAGGACTGCAATCCAGCAGGTATTTCCTCTGCCCCAAAGCACTGCTATTGACAGAACTGCACCCAAACAGCAATCCAGCCCCTTTGGGTGAAAATTAAGACTGTGTCCAGAACATTCATTAGTGCAATTAAAGCTATTACCTGGTTCTCAGGCCATGTCCTGACTCAGCGAAGGAATGGGGTTTGTTGCACGGCACACACCCTTACTCCTCCACTACATGGAACTGACGTTTAGTGGTTGAATTTGGTTTTAATCCTGTGTCTCATAAAAACATGATACTCCCTAGGGGTTCAGAGGGAAGGCAAACAGCCCTTATCAATTGGAAGAAGACCGTGCAGTTCATAATCTAGTTGATAGAGAAGCCAGATTAGGAATGTAATTATCCTAATTAATTTTATATCTTGAATTCATCTCTCTTTACATAAACAGCAGTTTCAAAGCAGGCCACCAGCTTCTACGCACAGAGAAGTTTTATCTGGTTGAGGGGCACGTTAGCAACGCACGCTCTTGTTTTGCAGAAAAGGACTCTTGCGGACTCAGGATCCTGTTGGTCTGTGGAAATCCTTCCCCTCGCTAACTCCCTCCCACCACTTCAGGCCTGCTCTGTAAGGAGTTCACCAACCATCTCCGGATCATCAGGGCCTGATGCAACAAACTGTGAAGCATTAGCTCGAAATATACAGCTGGGAGGCCAGTTCTGCTTCACGGCACGAACCCCCCATCGCAAAGGACGATAAAGCAGCGAGCACAATTTGCGAGAGAAACATAAGTGATAATCCGAGAAAGCTGCAAGGAAAGCAGGAGCAAATCGGGGCTAACCAACATTTTACCCTCTGGAGATGGCTAAAATTAGGGACAGGAGGCTCAGAAACCAGGCCCACCCACAGCTGTTAGGCAGGGCAGCTTCTGTCCTTGTTTGTGACGCTACATGCAGAAGCTCGTTGCGCTTTATCTACTTGTTGAGGTGATTTTTGGCAACTCAACAGGTGTTCGTGGTGCAAATCCTCAGTGTGTGGACAGATAATTGAAAAACAGCTGCAGCAGGGCCAAGAGACCCAGAATTCAACTTGTACAAGGAAAATAAACAGGTCAGTAAAAGAACCTAAGTTCACGATCAGAGCAACATCTCTGTCCACATTTCTTTCTCCTCACTAAAGAAAACACATTTTACTCTTTGAATCTAGTTGTGCTTCAGTAACCAATTCTCAGAAGAATTCAGAGCAAGAGGGAATGTGCTGGTATCGCGTTCTTTGTCAACAGCTGTAAAGTGGATGTGCATCCAGCTACTCCTTAGTGGTGATGCCAGATATTGCTTACCCAAATAGGAACACCCAGCCCTTCCTAAGAATTTTTTTGAAGATGTTATTAAGCGTCTGATTTTGGCATGGCTCTCAAAGCTGTTTGTCCCGATTTTTTACTGCCTGTTGAAAAGAAAGCAATACTGCAAATACTTCCCATCAGAAAATACCAACAAGCGGCTTATCATAACTGCAGTAGGGCTCACAACATTTCCACCGAGTGATTTTTGGCACTGACAGCTGACTCGGAACAGTTGTTGGTGGCTGGGACAGATGGACTTCATATATTAAAAAAAAAGAAATGAGAACTTCTCCTCTGTAGATTTTGAAAAGCCTTTCGCACAATCCAACATATTACCAAAACCTCAGAATTAAGTCAATGGGAGATCTTAATACACTGAGCTTTAAAACTGAAACGTGCCAGCGACTTGCTGTATGTCCCCCTCAAAAACTCTAAGGTATCTACACGTTTTATTTTCAACGGAAGTACTGGAGCATTCTGGGAAGGTCTCCACAGCTCTGCCCTCAGCCTAGCACCTGAGATCTTCAAAATCCACATGTCCATTTCCACAGGGAAGCTTGAAACAGAGACCTCAAGGTAGGACGTAACACTGATGTCAATTGTAAGCCTCACTCCCCATCACTGGTGTGTAATTATGGCCATGGCATTTCCCTGATGTGTAGAATCTTTAGATGCTTTTAGTGCTAGAGCTGGGTATGCACTGACTACCCCGTGCTTCGCTGGCTCCTGGTTGGGGGCACTGATTTAGGGCCGTGATCAAGGGTAAGGTCTGTTCTCTGGCAATAACACTGCAGGAGGAGGCAATCCCCGCGCCGCTGCGCTTGTGAGCTAAGGAGCACCGTACAGTCTAACGCACACGAGTCAGAGTTTTGCAGCTTGGGATCTCAGCACCTTGTTAGCTTTGCCAGCTTCCTTTTGTGCCTTTTTCTTTCCAAGCTGCCACCAAACTCATCCTTGCGGTCGCACTCCTATCTCGCTGTCCAGCACCAACCCTGCAGACCTCAGCACGCGTTTTATTTTGTCCTGCTGACAGCATAACCTTAACTTAGTGGGATGCCCCTCGGTATGTAAAATGAAGCGTCGTGGAACAAACTTTTTTATTCTCAACCTCACTCCTGCCCACTCTTCTGGGCTTACGACCCCAGATTTGAAAACAGCTGGAAATCAGTACAGGACGAGGCACTTTGATTTGGCCATAACCCTTCGTATTTCAATGAAGAGCAAACCCTGTTATCACTTGGTTTAATCACGGGGTAAATGTTCTCAGGCAGTGATGTGAAACTAGTGATGTCTGGCTGTTTTTAGCAACTTTTATCTGTCTAAAGAAATGCAAAAGTATCTGTAGGTCATTTCCAGCCTTGCTATCTTTTAAGGCCAGATTCAACAGGACGCTTAGGCACTGCTCACGTAACAGAGGAAGGAAAGGGGGCACCTTTCTGCCTTGCAGCCCAACTGAAAGGAAAAGTTGTGTTAAGTCTGTCGTTTTTCTCATTCAAAGGGAGCATCCGAATCCAGAGTTAGCACCTGGAAGACCGTGCGATGCTCCAGGGTCAGGCACTCCCAATTCCTCCTGCTGAAAACTTTCTGCTACAAACGACAGTAAAGCAAGTGAACGACAGACCCTGGAGCACGGCGACAACCATCTCCTCATCGCAGATGAGTGTCAAGAGTCATCTTCTCACCCCTCTGCTCACTTTTGGGGTAAATCGTGCTCAAATCTCACTTTTCTGGAGGCCCAAGAGGCTCTGCAAGTTATCTGGAGTCGATGAAAAATTGTTTTGTCCTTAAGCTGTTTGAAGTGGAGCTGACCCAAACCAGTTACTTGTGTGTCTGTACACATGGGCGCAGCCCTGTGTATTTCAGTAATCAGTTGCTGGCTGTCACCCTAACCCCACTCCATCCCATTTTCTCCTTCTGCCATCAGGGCAGACGGGAGGGGGCGGGGAGGGCAACGCAAGCCCACCGGCTGCTGTCCCCCTCCTCATCTCCCCGCTATTAATAGCCAGACAACAAATGAGCCCGAATTCATTCCTGAGCGGAATTAGCAAATGTTTTTGCAATTAAAACTGCAAACATTCATGCGGGGCCCCCGGAACAATAGGCGCCTGTGCCTGGTCGTGAATAGGCACTAGTGTCCGCCCTGCCTGCCTGCCGAGGCTGCACATTCCTGGCACCCTCATCCCTGGACCCGCTTGAGCTGAGCTTTTGGGTTGGTTTCCCCAACTCTCTGATGTCCGGCCCCCCCCCCCCCCCACACACACACACCCTGGAGCCGGCGGGTCCTTGCTGCAGGTTCTGGGGCTGACCCCGGACCCCCCCATCCCGGCAGCGCATCCCTGCATCCCCCCCTCCCCAGGATAAGGGTCGGGGCAGCGCATCCCCCCCCCCTCCCCGGGATAAGGGTCGGGGCAGCGCATCCCCCCCCCCCTCCCCGGGATAAGGGTCGGGGCAGCGCATCCCTCCCCCCCCCCCCCCCCAGGATAAGGGTCGGGGCAGCGCATCCCCCCCCCTCCCCAGGATAAGGGTCGGGGCAGCGCATCTCCCCCCCCCCTCCCCGGGATAAGGGTCGGGGCAGCGCATCCCCCCCCCCCTCCCCGGGATAAGGGTCGGGGCAGCGCATCCCCCCCCCCTCCCCGGGATAAGGGTCGGGGCAGCGCATCCCCCCCCCTCCCCGGGATAAGGGTCGGGGCAGCGCATCCCCCCCCCCCCCTCCCCGGGATAAGGGTCGGGGCAGCGCATCCCCCCCCCCCCTCCCCGGGATAAGGGTCGGGGCAGCGCATCCCCCCCCCCCCCTCCCCGGGATAAGGGTCGGGGCAGCGCATCCCCCCCCCCTCCCCTCCCCGGGATAAGGGTCGGGGCAGCGCATCCCCCCTCCCCGGGATAAGGGTCGGGGCAGCGCATCCCTCCCCGCCGCTCATCCCGTTACGGAGCCGCGGCAGCGCATCCCCCCCGCCGCTTCCCCCTCCCCGGGATAGCGACCGGGGTAGCGCACCCCCCCGCCCCTTCTTCCCCCCCTTCCCCTCCGCGGGGTGCGGGACGGGGCGGCGGCGGTGCCGCGGGACTCACCGAGCAGGGGCAGGAGCAGGAGCAGCGCCATGATGGGGTGTGCGGAGCCGAGCCGAGCCGCGCCGAGCCTGCGCACTGCCCGGGCTGGGGGGGGCGGGGGGGGGCGGACCGGGGCGGGGGGGGGGGCGGGGGGGGGGGGGCCGCGCTCCCGTTGCCGCGGAGATTGGGGATTGGGGGCGGGGGGAGGCGCGGAGCCCGGCGCCTGGCACCGCGGGGGGCTGGGAGCGGGGGGGGGGGGTTGCCTTTTGGGGGGAGGGAGGGAAGCGACCCGCATCCCGCGGGTTCTCCGGCTGCTTCCCGGGAAAACGGGGGCGGGGGGGGGGGGGGGGGGGGAAGAGGTGCTCGCCCCAAACACCCCGGCTGTGGGTAAGCGCCGCCGCGGAGGGGGGAAATGCGGCGGGAGCGAAGCGCTCGGGGTGGGGGGGGGGGGGGCTTTAAACGTTGATAAGCTGGACGTGAGCTCGAAGGTGAGGTTTTGGTTAGCGAAACCCATCCCAGTTTTGCTCTGGAGCGGGTGTTCACCCCCTGCGTTTAACGAGAACCCCTAAAAAGAGGGATTTCTTTGTGAGGATTTTCCCTAAGAAGCTATCTCACCCGTGCGTTTCACTATAAACTTTTCAGGGAAGCAAGAAACGCGAGCAACCACTTGGGGAGAGAGTGAGAGTGCTTCTCTCGAGGAGCCTCCCCGAGCCCTCCTGCCCTACCAAATTGTTTCTGACAAGGCCACGTGTTGAATTTAATGATGCTGCCACGAAACGTGGCTTCGCACAGAGGGCAGCCCGAGCTGCTGTGTGGTCCTCAAAAGCGTCCCAGAACTTTTTCCTTTGATTAACAGGAAGAAACAAAAATTGCCAGCGCTGGATGCTCGCCCCGAAGTCAGCCAGTCAGCCTGGGTTAGTGCTGGTTCGTGCGTCACTGACTGTCAGTAGCGTGTGATGGGGATGTAATTAAGATGCTGTTGAAGATCAAGCAGCTGGAATGAAAGGCGAGCTCTCCTCTGTTCTGTAAACCAGCTCAGGAGAGCTGGTAGAAATTAAGGGATGTAAAAATCTATTTAACTTGATAATGTAGCAAATCTAACTTGAGATGCTAATGAGTAGATTTAAAGGGCTGATCTGAGCCTGGTGAAATTCAGACAGAGATTCTCATCAATTCTAATGGCCAGATGGGACACTGCACGGGGGATGAAGGGGAAGGAATCGCCTAATAAGACTATATGGCTTAAAACCTGACTCTAGCAAGCTTTGGGTTGGGTCCCTGTTGAGTAAGCAGTCATTTTAACACAGTCCATTTGGACTGAAATGACAGGAGATGTAAAATATGATGACATAGAGTATAATCAGCAATAAAACATAATCACTGAGGCGTCAGGTTCCTCTTTAACTTCCTGCAGCAGCTTGATCAGGGAAGAGTGGAGCTGAGAAAGAGGAAACAAGAAAGGAGGGGAGGGTTTCGAGCTCCTGCGCTCCTTCTGGCCTTCTCACTTTTTTTATTTGTATTATTTTTATTGTATTTACATGGCCGGGCGAAATGTGCTTAGCCTAGGTGGGCATTGAGGGGATGTTTATGAGTTAATCGATGCAGACGGAGGCTGGGTTTGAAGTCAGCTGGCAAAGCAGACCGGACCTTAGCAGGTAACACCAGGGCATGAAGCCTTGAACGTCATCCTGGCTATACACCCTCGCATGGGACATACGTGCCAAATGTCTATCTCAGGCAGATCTCTCCTCTTTATGCTGCCTCCATGGTTTTATTACAGCAAGGTTCTGCCTTTTAATCTGCCGTCGTCACTGAGGAGCCATTTGAAATGTGAAACTCGACAGGCAAAAGGAGTCACAATAAATATTATTTAGAAGCGTAGTGCCCATCAAACCAGGACAGCAAAGCGCTGCGGTGTAAAACATTGATTTTCACACACAAATGGAGCTCCCATTTCATTATTTAATGTTGAAACAAGTAATGAGAATAAAATATGCGCTAAGAGCAGCCCCGTGTAATGCGGGGATGTATTCAGGCATGATGAGGGGCAGCATAAACCTGCCTCTTCCTAGGATTTCTTTGTTCTCTGAAGAGCTTCCCATCCGTGCCCAAAACAAGAAGAGGGATCTGCAGGATGAGAAGGACGGAGCACGTGTCCTGCCACGGAGCCCTCCCGAGCTCCAGCGACGGCCCGTGGAGGGGAGTGATGGAGGAGGAGGTGGTGCATGACCCGGCCCAAGCACAGGCAGTGGTGGTGACAGCGGAGGGATGCAGGATAAGGCAGTGGGGCCTCACTCCTGGCACTTGTAAGAGCAGAGGGAAGCTGATCGAGGACTAAACTAGAAAAAAAAAAAGACTACCGTAAGGGTTTCTAAAGGTTGTACAGAGCGTGTTGTACACCCAATGTCTGGGATCTGAAAGCAGCTGAAGGCAACTCGGGGGAAGTGGATATCCTTGTGATGCTTGTAGTGCCTGGAGGCCCAAACCGAGGTTCAAGCCCTGCTGGGAAGAAGCTGCTCAAACCTGTAGTAACAGGCTGCGCCTGTCACGATGCGTTTTCAGTAGCAATACACATGGCAGACAGGAACGTTGTTATTATCCGAGGCACTGGGGCTCCAAGGACTCTGCCAATGAGCTGTGACATTCCTTGCGTGCGGAGGAGCAGCCTGCCCGAGTCCTCAGGGCTGTCCATCTGGACCTTTCCCAGCCACGAGGTTCACTCCAGACCCCTTTCACTTTGAAGCTGTGATTGTGGCGGGCCGGTCTGCTGTCCTGTGAAGAAGGAGGTCCTGGCAGGCACCTCTGTAACCTCGAGAGCTTGGCTGCTCTCCGGGGTGGGCGCTGATTGTGCTGCCCCGGCGGCAGGACGGCAGCCCTGGCGGTAGCCCGCTTTGTTCAGCATTAGAGAAAAACTTCTTTACGCGGGAGAGGAGGGCTGTGGGCCACTGTGTTTGCTCGGTGGGCAAATGCCAGCAGGCAGGGTTTGGAAGAGCAGTCTGCGCCGCTTCTGCTGCTGGGGCAGCTTTCTATGGATGCACTCCTGCTGCCTCTTAACTCCTAGCTTAAGACAGCATCTCTTTTTTCTGTCTGCTGTAGTCTAGACAAGTTGTCGATTCCCCGGTGTCACAGACCATGACCCCACTCCTACACCCGTCCCATCATTTTTCCCGAGTTCATCGCTCAGGCATATGCTCGTCTATTTTGAATCATTTGTATGTGTGAGGCTGAGTCGCTCCTAATCTCGTCTCCCTCCCGGGGCGTCAGTCACACTGGCATGTGCCTTTTCCCTGTCTGCCTCCCTCTGTTTATGGACTATAGATATTTTTAATTCCACCCTCTAATTAGAGGTAGTTTTCTCTGGATATTTTGCGCACAAGGGCTCTCACATCTGTGGTCAGCAGGGCAAGGCAGTAAGCGCCGGGGACTGGCCGTGCATAGAAGCCTTCCTGCTAAATAAATACGTTGCCCTTCACCTCCCAGCAGCACGGAGAGACCGGAGGGGTGGGGGGGGAAGGTTTGCATTCCTCAGGGGTCCGTCTCAGCAGCGCGGTGGGATAGCAGCTGTACGGAGGAGCCAGCTAACCCCCCGAGAGACGGACACAGCCGCCTTCTCATCCTCCAGCCCACTGCCTGTGGCTGCTCGGAGCTCCCGGCCGCTGTCTTCAAGCCGTGCAGGCAGCGCCGGTGACCCGGGGGAGTCTGCGTGCCCGGGGATCCCCGAGTCGAGCTCGCTTCCCGGTCCAGGGATGGAGAAGAGA